TCATGCAAATCTTCACTTCCCGTATTATCAAGAAGAGGATGTTCAGGTATAAATAATTGTTTTATTTTAGGCAATAATAATTGCATGACTCTGATTACAATATTTTGTTTAAAAGAATTATTCTGTATGTGACCTGAAGCTAATTCTATTTTGAAAGCTTTTTCTGTAGTTTGAACAATTTGAAACGCTACATTTGACGGATAATAAAGTTTTCCTCGATTAACAAAAGAAGTGAATGAATTGTATTTATTGATATTAATTGCATAAGTATGAAATGTATTACATCTTTCCATATTTCTTTCTATTAAAATATTTATGCAATGATGGCAATGTATTTCAGTAAGAAGTGTACGAATAATAGAACCCGTTATATAATATAAAATATTTTGTTGAAGAAACGATAAATTTACATTATCTATTAAATTTGATAGGGCTTGCAATTCTTCTTCATTTATATTTATACAATTATCATCATGTATTGTACGTTTTGGCGTTCGAAATTTTAAAATAGAGGGTACTTCGTAATTGTCACTTAAACAATTTGCATTAAAACTAGCACGTACAGAATTACGAAACAAAAGTTGCCGTAAAGCCCATTTAAACTGTAATGCATTAGGATTATCATTCCATCCACCACGTCCTCTTATGCATGAAAAAAATAATTCTAAATGATCTTGAGAACACTTATATGCTAAAAAATATCGTAAAGCGTTTACTTCTTTGTACAATAGATCGTGTGCTAAATTGTAAAAACTTTGACAATTTATAACAAATCCTAGTGCAAAAGTACTTCGAGAATGGACAAAAATATTAATGTCATTTATTTTTAAACTCGAAATGTATGTGATGCTATCATCAAAAAATTGTTTGACTAATTTTAAGTTGTTAATCGTCATAGGTGACTTAAAACCTGTACCAAAACCGTTTCTTGTATTCATCGTGTCAAATAATCTATCAATGATACGAATAAATTCTGTTGTTGCTTCACTATTTATAAAGTTTTTATCTCCACTTGTTCTAAGAAAATCTATTGCATCAGCAACACCACTACTTAATACCTGTGCTGCCAAAAGTACATTCATTTTCTTATTTGAAAAATTAACGTGATTATAACTTAATTTATTAGCAAGTTTTAAATCTGCTTCTTCTTGAATTGTATGCAGTTTTTTTATATAACTGAATGAGATTAAGCCAGCTTTAGATGAAATATTTGTTTCTGCTAAGGCATTACGTGCTAATTTAACCATGTGACATGGATCCATTATACAATAAACATTTGACTTATTTTGTGGATGTTTAAAAAAGGTTTTTATATTGTCAGTAGATAGATTACATCCAAGTAATTTAAACGTTGAAAGGTTTGTTTTTGTTCCATCACATGTTAATGAACGTACTATTACGCCTACTTCATATAATTTTTCAATTGCACATTTTATTAGTTGTGCTTGCATATTTGCATTTATTTTGTTAATAAAAAAATATGCAATTGGGCATTTAAACTTATTTGTATATGAAACTATTTGAAAAACTAATACTTCTGTAGCTAAATCTTGAGAATCAATATTTAAGATATCACCATAATCAACATAGCCTCTGTTTTTATCGGTTTTTATATCATGTATAATTTGAGTACGAATTGCCATTGAGTCAAATATTAAAGCTACATCTTTCAAAAATTGCTTTTGTGGTATTTCTGTTTCTAAATATTTAAAAATTTCCGAAAGAAAACCTACTTCACAATTATAATTTCCAAGCCATTTTCGTAACATCGACGGATGTGGTAAACACAATGTTTCTCGAAGCGTGTCATATCCTTTAGGACTATAAAAATATAGTGTTAATGCAAATTGTTTCATTTCTTGCGTGTATCGTCTTTGCGTTGAAACAACATTATTATTATGATATTCATTTAAAATAATTTGTAACTTAGAATCACTAAAATTATTCAGTAATATTTTTTCCAGATCTGTGTTTGTGTCATGATTCGTTTTAAACGTTTCAACAATGTTCCGTGTTGTTTTAATAGTTTTTTCTCGACGATGTAAACGTTTTTGTAAAATGTGTATTTTTTTCAATAATTCACCTTCTCTTCGCTCTTGTTCTGTTGCCGTCTTTATTACATTAGAATTAAGCATGCAAATATCCATTTGTTCATCCACTTGTTTATCTAATATTTTTTTAGTTGTTTTTCTCTACCAAAATCAAATAAATATTTTATACACACACGCACATATTAAAAATATTAAGATATATATTTAAAGCTATCACACACATCTGTACGTAATGTTACAAATGCCTTAAAGCGTTCTTTCACTGCTTTTCTATTTATTGAAAAGAAAGAGAAAAAACACATTTCAAAGCATTTGTAACATAAAATAAACTCCAGTCTCTTTGGATAAACTATAGTGTGTATATTCTCAATATTGTTCATTTCTCAGTGACATCAAATGTAGCAGTCTATTGTGAGATGCAATGAATGACAAATTAACTTTAATGACAAATATATTTACTTTTATGCTTCTAATTATATTACCAACTTACAATATGTACAAGTATAAAAGCGTAACTAAATATATATAATATACATAAAATTGTGTATATATCAATATTCAGATAATTGAAACAATCGCTGAATTGAGTCGTAGATACATCCCGATTAATCAGATTCAAATATATATATATACACAATCGATTTCAATTATATACACACATTGATTATACATTCTATATATATATATATATATATATATATATATATATATATATATATATATATATATATATATATATATATATACTATCGGATATAATAAATGAACCTACACAGTGGTATGATATAACATCTGTAGACTTCCTCACGATAATGGACTCTGAAACATAAAGATAATGTATATTTTACCGGGCATAATAATTGAACTTACACAATGGTACGATCCAATGCTTGGGGGCCTCTTACAAACAATGACTCCTGAAACACAAAGAAACTTTATTACCAATAAAGAAAATTCTTGAGGAATTAATTCTAAGGATTAATCTTTAAAGCTCATGGAACAATTAATAATTGAATTGCTGTGTATGTACATTACAATATAAGTTGTCAGGTACTGAGTAAGGACAGAAATAAGTACTAAATATACGAAGGAGAAATTAGAGCATAAGCAAGTAAAGAATAAGTGATATATTGACTGCTTGGTTCTAAAGTTAACTCTGAACTATGTATTACGTTGATCTTACTGTGTGTAAACGAACATTGTTTCCGGGACCTATTACTTATATTAAATAAAATAAATAAATAAATTAAAGTGTACATATATACGAATAGGTAAAGTTGACTAATTAATGAATTTAATAAGACTGGATAGATAAACAATAATCATCATTGTTCGTTGGTGGCTCGCCGTGCGGTAGAATGGCCGGTTGGAGCCAGCGCAACTGTAGTTTTCAGATGTACCAGATCGGATGGCGCGAAAGAGGAGCAACTTTTCTTTTGTTTCACAGCACTTTATTTGTTATCGTTCGATACAATTCTCAACCCCTGAACACGGTGGCGCGAATTGTTATAACCTTAAGTTTTACCCGGGGTGCCGAGCCGAGCCGGGTACAAAGAAATACGCGTTTCGCAGAACGCGGAGCGCACGCGGCCTTTTTCGTGAAACGATTCCGCAAGACTGCCAGTAGGCCGCGCTTAGGAATGCAAAAGCTCTCCCCCGGCCCCGAGCTACTCGATCCACCCAGAGCGGGAAAAAAGCTCAGCACCAGCGCGACCGGGACAGCAACTCTGTTTGGACAGAGAGCAAAAATCGGAGCTGACGTGTCGCTCCGATCTCGCGACTCGCCAGCGTAGGCTCGCAAGACGCGCAAAAGCGTCAACAATCATAATAATAGCAACTACATATTAATGATTGCTGATTTATTAGTTTGTTAATACCATAAGGTAATCACATACACATACGTATACTTATATATAGACTGAGAGACTATTTCACTGAGTACGGATTGTTTCCTCTGAGGCTGCCTGGTCAATCTGAAAAGAGAAATAGTATTTAATAGGATAAAGAAATATTAAGACTATTAGTAATATACTCGTATAGGGTGGCGATGTAACTACTGCTCGGTGATTACTGGCTTACCTGAAATATAAGAACTTATTGAAATAAAATTAGGAAATAATATAGTGTATATGTGTAAGAATAGTACCTTGTAAATATAGATAGTTAAAGTTATGTAGAACAATGAATAATGAATTAGTAATAACAATTAGAAGTGCCTTATTTAGAATTAGACACATTGATCGTAGTTAGCACTGCGCAACGACGCAGAGGATTATGATCCTGATCCTTATAAATAATTGGAACTCAGATCTGGTGGATCCATTCACACCAATGGATTGAGACACCCACCGATCTAATCTTTACTACTATTACTATCAGTATATAGTGCGTCTCACAAGAGAAGGCCACTCTTGAGAATAAAACCACGCAAACTCTCAATGGATATGGACAAGGAAAAGGACATAAACGTCCCGGCGTCGGATACCGGGAACCGGCACGTGGAGGGTATCGTCCCTGCCCTCCACGGGTCGTCATCATGCAAAGGGCTAACCTCGGGATCGGTGGCGAGTCTCGGGGCCAAACCTGCTATTGCCTCAGTGGAAAGACTGGACTCAGAGATTACGGTACGTAGGGCGCTTTCGCTGGCGGGGGGAGGCTCTCCCATATCCCTCACAGATGAGGTGGAGATGGTGGGCGCCTCTTTTTTCTGCGGGGTGGTGCTCTCGGACTCAGACGGCCCGGGGCCATTCGGCTCATCTGAAATAAGCAGACCGGATTTATCAAAGGCAAAAAGAGGAAAAA